CAATTTCATTAGTATCTTTAACCATAAATCAATGTATATAACTAAAAGTTTTTGTTTTGCAAATGAGACAAAAACAACAATATCTGGACAGAATACATCATGTTTCCAAATTCTATAATAAGAAATAAATACAGGATGACACAAGGGGCAAGAAATCAACTCCATATAATATACATAGAAAGTGAAAGTGGAATTATGTTAGGCAGTAGGAAGTTGACTCATTGATGGACATCATCTCCATATGACAGAGACGTCGACCTAGTCCTGTCCTTCAGTTTGTTGTAAAACCAAAGTAAAATAGGAGTTGCTTCCCCTTTACCACTGAATTTTTGAGATATTTTTAAAAGTATCATGTTGCAACTTTTGACAGAAAAGTTGTTTACAACACTTCTGTAGTAACCAGTAAAATTGTCATCAAGTTTTATATATACGGTATCCATAGAGACAGACATTTGTCATTGAATTCATATTTTTCATTTACACATACAAAGGGGAAAATTTAGAGAGCTTCAAAACACCCTTATCAGCATGCCAACTCTGGTCTAAAGACTACCTTGTTAACCATCTAATTAGGAAAATCTGAAACCTCCTGGTCAATTACCCCCTGTGTATGAAGTCTATCCTTCTGAGGTGTGAGGACTTGTAAACTGAGTTGGTCTCTCTAGGTGTGGATATGTCTTGTAATGAGTGTTCAGATTCTGTCAGCTTGGGCATGGCCTGGATGGGACACACATACAGATTCTGTCACCCTTGGCAGGGCCAGGATGGGACACACATACAGATTCTGTCACCCTGGGAATAGAAATGATGGGACACGCATACAGATTCTGTCAGCTTGGGCATGGCCAGGATGGGACACACATACAGATTCTGTCACCCTGGGCATGGCCATGACGGGACACACATACAGAACTGTCACCCTGGGCATGGCCATGACGGGACACGCATACAGACCTGTCACCCTGGGCATGGCCATGAAGGGACACACATACAGATTCTGTCACCCTGGGCATGGCCATGATGGGACACATATACAGATTCTGTCACCCTGGGAATGGCCATGACGGGACACGCATACAGAACTGTCACCCTGGGCATGGCCATGATGGGCGACGCATACAGATTCTGTCACCCTGGGCATGGCCATGACGGTACACGCATACAGAACTGTCACCCTGGGCATGGCCATGATGGGCGACGCATACAGATTCTGTCACCCTGGGCATGGCCATGATGGGACCCGCATACAGATTCTGTCACCCTGGGCATGGCCATGATGGGACACACATACAGATTCTGTCACCCGGGGCATGGCCATGACGGGACATGCGTACAGATTCTGTCACCCTAGACATGGCCATGATGGGACACACTTACAGATTCTGTCACCCTGGGCATGGCCATGACGGGACACGCATACAGAACTTTCACCCTGGGCATGGCCATGACGGGACACATATACAGATTCTGTCACAATGGGAATAGAAATGATGGGATACACATACAGAACTGTCACCCTGGGCATGGCCATGATGGGACACGCATACAGATTCTGTCACCCTGGGCATGGCCACGACGGGACATGCGTACAGATTCTGTCACCCTAGACATGGCCATGATGGGACACACATACAGATTCTGTCACCCTGGGCATGGCCATGATGGGACACACATACAGATTCTGTCACCCTGGGCATGGCCATGACGGGACATGCGTACAGATTCTGTCACCCTAGACATGGCCATGATGGGACACACATACAGATTCTGTCACCCTGGGCATGGCCATGACGGGGCATGCGTACAGATTCTGTCACCCTTGGCATGGCCATGACGGGACACACATACAGATTCTGTCACCCTGGGCGTGGCCATGATTGGGTATGCCTACATATTCTGTGCCCCTGGGTCCTGTGTCTTGTGTACAATGTAGATAGCTGTGCAGTCAAAAAAATGTGCAGTGTTCTTAGTAATACATTATATTATCAAATGACTACCATGTGAGTGGGATGTAGTTTAGTGAAATTTTATTAATACTGTATGACCTTAAATTACTGTTTTACAACCTTGTATCAAATCAAAGAGGTCGCAGCTAAACCTCCGAATCAAAATGGCTGCCCACTATACGGTTTAATGGAAGACACATCCCACAGATACAAGAGTTTTGAAATGGTTGCTAGGCTACGAGGAGTTGTGTCGATTGGTGACGAGAACTGCGAGTGTCTGGAGAAGTCTATATCACACTAAAATAAATAACATCGGTTCACCAACTGTATCGCACAGAGCAAACGTGACTATTTTTGATTTTCTCATTTAATATACAAACATGGAAAAAATACTTGCTGAAGTAAGATTAGTCGTAAGAAATGAGTAAGGAGATTGGGAATAAGGTTTGTATTTGTGTGTGAAATGATAGGGACGTGGAAATCTCAAAAAGGAAGTGTCAAATATACTGTATGGTTGTGACCCTTTCATCCCTGCCAAACAATAGGATTGCCCAAAGCTAGTCTACTTGGGTGAATGGGGATGACAGGGTTACACCAACTATATGTTTGCACATGTGCCCTTTTTCACGGTATTTACAATCTGTAATTACAAAGCAAAGCTTTCGCAAAAATAATCATTTGTCTGTTGGACAGTACCAGGAATTTTACTAGATATGATTATTTTCTTTTTGACCGTGGACTTTTGACAATTTTTTTCTTTTAGAGACTTGACAACCAAGCATTGGGTGAAATATAAACTGGCCACATTCAGACATGTGGCGAGGCGGTTTATTCAATTACGAAAACTTTAATAACATTAAAATTAAGAAGTTCTTTAAAAAAGGGAAGAAAGACAATGATCTGTGATGAATTAGAATATAGAGATGAGTCTGGCTATGAGAGGCACATTAGTCACTGTAGGAACACTGTACAAAGGGCAGGTTTGATCTTTATTCTACATGAGAAATGAACCAGTTAAATTGGTATAAAACATTATATCTTCTATAATAATATCCTCTAAATTCAATAAATGCCCCAAGTGAAAATAATGCTTTCAGATGCCGACATGAAATTGTGAGAGTTAAGTAAATATTATAAATCCTCTGAACTATTGCACTTCCATCCTGCTAAAGGTGTTTTAAGTAAAAGTCCTGCCTTTCCACACCCGATAAGTCTGTGAAATCTCCAGAACAGTACAAGGTATTGTTGATACCAGGTGGTATACCATATTACAACATGAAAATGCCTCTGTGAAGTTCTAGGTCGCATAGTTTGGAGGGAGATCATTCAACCCCTCCAGGAATCTATGGGGTTGAACAGACTGGAGGGATATCATTCAACCCCTCCAGGAATCTACTGGGTTGAACAGACTGGAGGGAGATCATTCAACCCCTCCAGGAATCTACTGGGTTGAACAGTTTGTAGGGAGATCATTAAAACCCCTCCAGGAATCTACTGGGTTGAACAGACTGGAGGGAGATCATTCAACCCCTCCAGGAATCTACTGGGTTTAACAGACTGGATGGAGATCATTCAACCCCTCCAGGAATCTAATGGGTTGAACAGTTTGTAGGGAGATCATTAAAACCCCTCAAGGAATCTACTGGGTTGAACAGACTGGAGGGAGATAATTCAAACCCTCCAGGAATCTAATGGGTTGAACAGTTTGTAGGGAGATCATTCAACCCCTCCAGGAATCTATGGGGTTGAACAGACTGGAGGGATATCAGTCAACCCCTCCAGGAATCTACTGGGTTTAACAGACTGGAGGCAGATCATTCAACCCCTCCAGGAATCTACTGGGTTGAACAGTTTGGAGGCAGAAAAGGTTTGAACTTTAGATGATGGTGTACAATTTTTTTAAAGGGAAAACGTGAGACAATAAGAGAGGATCAACTATACAATCCTGTAATAAGACACGCAGGGTTAGAGGTCATGAAAGAAATCTAGAGGTCATCAAGTACAGAATCACTCCAGGGTCGCCTAGTAAAAAGAGACAGTTGGTGTCTAGCAATTCAATGTCGGCATGCACAGGGTCAGAAAGTACAAACAGGTTAAAGGTCAACAGACACAAACTCAAACAGTTGTGGAGGGTGTTTGGAACATAACAAACATGTGTTGAGCAATAACACAATGGCTAAGCCATTTCACAACAGAGGTCAAAGGTCGTGTCTGACCAATCATATTGCACAATCACACAGCTGACAGACACGCTCAGTCAGCATTGACCCTAAAGGTGAAGATTAACAGACACTGCTCCAAGGTCAGGATCAATCCATACGGTACGGCAAGCAAAGGTTACGAATGATGATGGGCTGGGATATAAGTCTTCTTCTCACCTGTAACCACAACATTGGAACAGTCCTGTAGGGGGGAATGAGGACTTACATCCTTCCCATCCCGACACTCTAAGAGTGGAATCTTCCACCTTACTAAAGCTTGTAATAGATTGATCTATCAGTTTCAAGATTTAATCAAAAAACGTTTCACAATTAATAGAGTTGTCTCCAAGTGTAGAACAGAGATATATATTATTTTTTTTACATATTTTAATACCTTTTATTATAAACTAGTGAAAAAAGACAATGAGGTGTGTCCAATGGACTGTGATCTGTTGTATCAACAATGACGATTGGGACATTTAGACTTGCACACACACAGTTGACAAGGGGTCCGCCTCGTCTGCTCAGTTGGCACATTTAGAAATTGTGTAAACATGTAATACAGCAATCACGGGTCTGAGAGGCACCGAGGTCGTATTTTATTGACAACACCGTGACATAGGTCTTTGGTGACGCTAGACGATCATGCTATGACATGTCGCTACTAGTGACATGGAAGGACATGCCATCTCGCATAACTGTAAGATTGACATATGTCACCACTAATGGGGTGGGGAGAGACGCGTCACCCGTTGTCACCGGAAACAAACGTGTTGACACTAGTGACATGACAACCAATACCAGTGACAAATGTCTCTCTCAGTGTTTTGTGGAGTTACAACAGCCAATTTGGTTTTTAGGTGACACATGTCATGTTTGACTTGTTTCGGCCAATTGACGTAAAGAGGTAAAGCAATGTTTGACTCTCATGCCTGACAATACCGCTATCAATCACCGTAGTCAGCAGTACAGTGGCTCTACCATAACTACCATCACATACACCACTAGGGGAGACAACTCTATAATCGACAATGAAAAGATTAACATATAAATTCTGTAGCCCTAACTGTAACTGGACTTTTTCCACCATGATTCATAGTAAGTGGACACCGTATTTTGGTTGGAAGGGGTTGTGTTATTGCTACCACCGTGAGTAACAAACTTTGGTTGCTAAGTAACAAAGGCTAAGTCTTATCAGCTCTCACCTCTACAATCCTTGACGAACCGTCGCCATAGTTACAAACATTTGATTATCCTTTTACACGGACACGCAGCAGATTAGATGAAGATCATCACTACACACACGCTCCCCCTACATCAGCATCAACACTCAAGTCAACCTAGGTCTGCACAACATTAGAAAACAAGATCAAAAATTCTCAACTGAAAAAAGGTTGTGGGGTCAAAAGTTGCAGGTCATGGTCAACATCATCTTCATCATCAATTGCACTCAATAATTATCAATTTTTATCATTGATGGGTTATCACTCAATAGTTCTACTACATACTGGGATGTCAAACAGAAGAACGCAATTTGTTAGTATCGAAGTGGCTGGAGCCCATCACCTACTGACAGTGCTCAACCCCTGTGTGAACTAGATGTCAATACTGGCTTGTTTCATTTGTTGTTGATAACTCGAGTTTCTGGGAGAGGAGCCATATTTACTGCCTATTGTGTCGCGTTCCCGACCGTATGGGCGTGACCCATGATCAGCCCGTCGGTGATCTTAACTATGACCACGTGGCTCTCGGTCACTATGACCTACATAGTCCCTTCTCCTATCAGCCTTTTCGTAACCACTATCCCGATCATAGTCAGCAGATCCGTGATCATGATCATGATGAAGTTTGTCATGTGATGGGCTGACGTCATTATCATGTGAATGTCTATCACGCCCTCCACCGTGATCATACGAATCATGGTGACTTCCGCGCGGGTGTCGGTCGGGCGAATCCCTGCGGTCCATACTGTGCGCTCTGTTAGAAGACATGTGAGCCGGCAGTGTGTTGTGACGCGACAGCGGGTTTGGCGAGGGAGGACCCTGGCCATGTTGCCGTGGCGACTGAGGCGTGTTGTTAGGAGGATGTGTGGCCCGCCAGTATGCCTCCAGAAACTCGGCCAGATGCTCACAGGCATCTTCTAGTTGGTTCTCATCCAGTACAACATCAAACATATCCTGCAAGGGGGAACAGAAAAGGCATTACAACAGGGAAAACGAGAAAAAATTCACAGTGGTTCTTTTTACTGAACCCCATAACATAAATATTATCAATGATTTTCACATCAATTTTGATAAAAAGATTGAAAAGTAAAATATTTTCGTGTAGAAAAATACATCCATTTTTAATAAGATATTGTTATTTGTGACTTCATAGAATGGTTGCAGTTTTAATAATTTATATTTTGAAATTACTTTTTTATCAATGTAGAGAACCATGTGAACGATTATTTTCAGTCCATATAACACAGGTACACATTCATCATCTAAACATTTTTAACCTTCAAATAAATTATCAACACTTAAAAAACAATATTTTGTGTTGCATGGAGGGCAGTAATCAGTTAGGCTATTTTGAAATTGAATATTACATCTGTCAATGAAGTTTTTCTGAAATGAAACCAAAAAATTCAAATATCTACAATAATGATTCGGAGTACATTCTCTGGTGACATGTGAAAACACTCTGGATCATGTGACCATTTTCCTTGTCACATGACCTGTACTCCTTCTATCATGTGACAATCATGTGGCCATCTTCGCAAGTTGTCTTTTTCGTACCTGACTACATTGGTTTAGTTTATCTGCTGCCACAAGCTGAACATTCATATTCCGGCTCTGGGACTTCCCACGGGATTTGATTAATCGCTGTAGTACCTGTAACAGAATTACAGCTGTCAGCAAAATATAGGAACTTGTTTATAAATTAGTGTATAAGGGGAAATTTTATTCGCTGTAGTACCTGTAACAGAATTACAGCTTTCAGCAAAATATAGGAACGTGTTGATAAACTAGGGTATAAGGGGACATTTTATTCGCTGTAGTACCTGTAGCAGAATTACAGCTGTCAGCAAAATAAAGGAACTAGTTGATAAACTAGTGTATAAGGGGACATTTTATTCGCTGTAGTACCTGTAGCATAATTACAGCTGTCAGCAAAATAAAGGAACTTGTTGATAAATTAGTGTATAAGGGGACATTTTATTCGCCGTAGTACCTGTAGCATAATTACAGCTGTCAGCAAAATATAGGAACGTGTTGATAAACTACTGCATAAGGGGACATTTTATTAGCTGTAGTACCTGTAGCAGAATGGGGGCTGTCAGCAAAATAAAGGAACGTGTTGATAAACTACTGCATAAGGGGACATTTTAGTCGCTGTAGTACCTGGAGCAGAATTACAGCTGTCAGCAAAATATAGGAACTTGTTGATAAACTAGTGTATAAGGGGAGATTTTAATCGCTGTAGTACCTGTAACAGAATAACAGCTGTAAACTATATATAGGAACGTGTTGATAAACTAGTGTATAAGGGGAAATTTTAATCGCTTTATTACTTGTAACAGAATAACAGCTGTAAGCTAAATTGGAATATGTTGACGTTATACTGTATACAGGGTATTTTTTTCCTAGTCAAATAAACTAACATTTGCAGTCATGATAAACCTGCACTTATTATGGTGGACAAAAAAGGCAAAAGTTAAACTGCAGCAAAAACTTGTGGTATACAGTAGTACTGCCCTTTGAGGCCTTTTTGTTATTGTGGTTGAGTTGCCAAACATTTGGTCAGGCCAAATTTCAGTTCGGTTTCAGATTCTCTTATCTCATCCCTAAGAAGAAAACACTCAAGGTCCAACATAGTAATTCTAATCATACTAATCGCCAAATCTAACCCACACACTACTGTATACCGAGAAACTTTTACCCAGTTGGATATTTGCCTTCCACTGGTAAAATCTATTTTTGCCCAGTGTAAATTTTGCCCTTCACATGTAATTTCTATTTAGCGTAAATCGTGTAGAAATAATTGTTTTCACAATAATTATATTCGCCCTTCATATGTAGGGCAAAAAGTGGCGAAAATTATACTGCAGCCAACATTTCCTGGTACACAGTAGTACAACAGAACCCTGCAAACTCGCCTGGTGAGAGTTAAACACAATTGGCCATACTGTAACAATTTGACCTTTCAAATTATTCACACTGTGGTATAACTTGCACACTGACAATTCTACTACATCGTGTATCTCAAAATGAACCAGTATTAATTCCTACAAGGTGATTTTGGTAACAAAGACTTAAGTAAGATGCTAGCTGAACCACAAGATAAAATAATTTACTCTTGGTATCTTTAATGTACTTATATCCCTTGGTCAATACAGAGCTCCTTCAGGCTCATTAGCAAAGTAGTTCCTTACAATGCTCTTTGGAGCTTACAAACAGAATAGTTCTTGACTGCCACAGAGCTCTTTAATGCTCATTAGCAATATAGTTCCTGACCACCAAAGAGCTCTTTAGGGGCTCATCAGCTGATCAGTTCCTGCCGCAATAGAGCTCTGTGAGACTTGTTAGCGTAATAATTGTTTGTGTAGGACTAAATATTTACCTTTGGTGATGCAATTTTGACATATACAATAACAGGAGCTAGAGAGGTCTTGGTGAGTTGAGAGGGATGGTTTATAGTGTCACAGTCCAGCACAACCAATTGAAGTGACCGCGCCAGGTCAAATATCCGCTCTATCTGAAACTGCACCTCACCTGCAATTCACACAAAGAAACAGTAAATCGTACCATGTGACAACAAGGGGCCCAATTGGCCAGTATCACTTACCTGTTATTTTTTGGTGTTGGCAGATATTTCTCACATATGACCTTCAAAGCAGATCAAACTTGTCTAAACAAACGTGATAGTTATCAATCTAACACTACAAGTGAAATATTATCACCCTACACTTACTGTATCTTTGTTCCAAGATTTTAGTATTTTTCACTCCAGCTAAAATCCCTCCATCCATGTGAAGTAGTCTTTTGAAAATTTAACCTCAATTTCCCATATTGGACCCTGCCCTTCTGTCCCCAGGTAAACCCTACTTTTCATTAACACAACATTCAAATAATATCTCTTGAAGTCTTAATCCCTTCACCTATGTCAAAGGAATAGCCTTTTCTACATCAACCCTATTTCTCCTTCTTGGCCTGCCCCCAATTCAGTCCCCAGGGGCAGGACACCCTCCATTTATTCAACAGTAGATTCTCTTGTCCCAAAGATGCTTCATACAAAATTGGTGAAAAAGTTCTTGATTTGCAATGACGAAATAACTTTTTAAATACTAACCCCTATTTCCCCTTTTGGCTCCAGCCTTTTAGATTCAATGGGGCTACACCCTTATTTTAAGCGAAATTTGGAATTTGATTCTGTGGTTCCAAGGATGCTACAAGCCAAATCCAATCAGTACTGTATACAGGGAAGCTTTCACCCTGTCAAATATTCGCCTCTCACTTGCACAATCCTTATTACATTAAAACTACGATAAATAGTATGTTCTGTACTGATGTTCAGTGTCATGATAAATTTGTCCTTATTAATAGGGTGAAAAAGGCGAAAGTTAAAAGGTGGTTAAAATATCCCAGTATACAGTACAGATGTAGTGTATTTGGCCGCCCAGTACACGGTACAGATGTAGTGTATTTGGCCGCCCAGTACACAGTACAGCTGTAGTGTATTTGGCAGTACAGCTGTAGTGTATTTGGCTGCCCAGTATACAGTACAGATGTAGTGTATTTGGCAGTACAGCTGTAGTGTATTTGGCCGCCCAGTATACAGTACAGATGTAGTGTATTTGGCCGCCCAGTACACAGTACCAGCTGTAGTGTATTTGGCAGTTAAGCTGTAGTGTATTTGGCAGTACAGCTGTAGTGTATTTGGCTGCCCAGTATACAGTACAGATGTAGTGTATTTGGCCGCCCAGTATACAGTACAGCTGTAGTGTATTTGGCTGACCAGTATACAGTACAGCTGTAGTGTATTTGGCTGACCAGTATACAGTACAGCTGTAGTGTATTTGGCTGCCCGGTATACAGTACAGCTGTAGTGTATTTGGCCGCCTTATACAGTACAGCTGTAGTGTATTTGGCCGCCTTATACAGTACAGCTGTAGTGTATTTGGCCGCCCAGTATACAGTACAGCTGCAGTGTATTTGGCCAATTTTTATCCAACACTTTCAGTGCTCTATACAGTCAGATGGACAGCGTGACCTGCATCTCCAATGTTTGCCCAAACCCGCTGACCCTAGTAGGTATGTAAGTGTACTGACCTATTACCCACTGACCCTAGTAGGTATTGAAGTGTACTGACCTATACCAGGCGTCTTGGGTGAAAGCATCCGGTTCCCTGGCTTATTGTAAGGATGGCGCTTAGCTAATGATATATCTGCTGCTACCTGCGTGATTATAATCCTGAAAGTAAACAATGTAAATAGATCAATAAAATGCAAATTCTATCATTTCTTTTATTTTCAAAGAAAATTGTACCCCAGCAATAAGACCCCAAGACATGTTGTCCACTATTTTAGAAGTTGTTTATTTAAACAATTTTCTTTAAAAGATGTTTAGGGACAAACTTATAGGTATGCAAGGACTGTGGTCAAAGTTTGGTAGGACTGTGGTCAAGGTTTGGTAGGACTGTGGTCAGGGTTTGGTAGGGCTGTGGTCAAGGTTTGGAAGGACTGTGGTCAAGGTTTGTTAGGACTGTGGTCAAGGTTTGCTAGGACTGTGACTCATGTGGAACACTTCACTGAGTTAAAGATCTTCTAGAAAGATAGGAGTCTGCCATACTTAAATGAACACCTATCTATAATATAAAACTGCCTCAAGCTTATTTCAATATCAATATTGCCCCTGCAAAATTCTGACAAGACTTACCTCCCTTCAAACCTGTGTTTGAGGAAGTCAAACAGGGCCTTCTGCATCATGTCCGTTACTTCATAACCTTTTAGTGAGGGCCCTATCAACACCACGGGTCTCATAGAAGGCACTACTTCATAGGGCGGGATACTCTCAGACTGAAACACAAAACCAGGTACAGTAAAACCTTGTTATACAGACACTTCTAGAGAGGGATACTCTCAGACTGAAACATAGACACAACACATTAACACAATATTAAGTACTGTTAACATATGAATATTACAAGCAATTGATTCAAACTAGAATTACAGTAGAAACATTTTGCACATATTCACATACAGTGAAACCTGTCTTATCTGACACTGATGGATTAGATGGGGTGTCAGTAAGTATAGGTTTTATATAAATAAGGGGGACTTTATCTCAACATACTCAAGCATTACCAATCAGAGGGTTTTAAGGGTTTTATTTGGTCAACAATTTCTCCATAGGCTTCATTAGGACAATTTTTCTGGAGGATAACTTTTCAAAGGGATACATTTTAACTGTGACGTCATATACGATATAAAGCACCCTAAGGACAGGTAAGTAATTCATAGCTTTGTAACATTAAAATGAAATATTATGTTAAACATGTTGATAATACTAACTGTTATAGTTTCACCTCTAACTGTTATAGTTTCACTTCTAACTGTATAGTTTCACTTCTAACTGTTATAGTTTCACTTCTAACTGTTATAGTTTCACTTCTAACTGTTATAGTTTCACTTCTAACTGTTATAGTTTCACCTCTAACTGTTATAGTTTCACCTCTAACTGTTATAGTTTCACCTCTAACTGTTATAGTTTCACTTTTAACTGTTATAGTTTCACTTCTAACTGTTATAGTTTCACTTCTAACTGTTATCGTTACACCTCTAACTGTTATAATTTCACTTCTAACTGTTATAATCACCTCTAACTGTTTTAATTTTTCTCTTCTAACTGTTATAATTTCACCTCTAACTGTTATAATTTCACCCATAACTGTTATAGTTTCACCTTTAACTGTTATAATTTCACTTCTAACTGTTATAGTTTCACTTCTAACTGTTATAGTTTCACCTCTAACTGTTATAGTTTCACCACTAACTGTTATAGTTTCACCTCTAACTGTTATAATTTCACTTCTAGCTGTTATAGTTTCACTTCTAGCTGTTATAGTTTCACTTCTAATTGTTATAATTTCACCACTAACTGTTATAGTTTCACCTTTAACTGTTATAATTTCACTTCTAACTGTTATAGTTTCACTTCTAACTGTTATAGTTTCACCTCTAACTGTTATAGTTTCACCACTAACTGTTATAGTTTCACCTCTAACTGTTATAGTTTCACTTCTAACTGTTATAGTTTCACTTCTAACTGTTATAGTTTCACCTCTAACTGTTATAGTTTCACCACTAACTGTTATAGTTTCACCTCTAACTGTTATAGTTTCACTTCTAACTGTTATAGTTTCACCTCTAACTGTTATAGTTTCACCACTAACTGTTATAGTTTCACCTATAACTGTTATAGTTTCACCTTTAACTGTTATAGTTTCACTTCTAGCTGTTATAGTTTCACTTCTAGCTGTTATAGTTTCACTTCTAGTTGTTTTAATTTCACCACTAACTGTTATAGTTTCACCTCTAACTGTTATAGTTTCACTTCTAGCTGTTATAGTTTCACCTCTAACTGTTATAATTTCACCTCTAACTATTATAATTTCACCTCTAACTGTTATAGTTTCAAAGTAAAATTACAACAGTTAGTATTATCAACATGTTGTGATTAAGTCCCCCCCTTATATTTAATTCCTATTGAATTGCCCAGCGAACCTCTTGGTATCGGTACTCACAGCGAAGTAGCTGACTTATCCCCCCGGATACCTCTACCTGATGTGGCTCTACACCTTAGAAGTTTTATAAACAGCTGTACGATGGCTATGACAGGGTGTTAATACAGGAAAGTATAGCATAGGAAACATTTTATTATAAACTGTAAATAGGCCCCTAATTTGTGAAACATAAACATTCATATTATAATGAGTAAAAATAGATGAATTCAGACATTTTTATACACATGTTCGAAGACAAGACCTTTGTACAGTACAAGTGTGAAAATAGATGACCTTTGATTTTATCCTATACCTCCATAACTGTATTCAGTATCCCACTAGATGACCTTCCCTAGCCAGAATGCCCTAACCCTAATTGACTACCCACAAATCATGAGGTCATCAAGTACAAACAAACTAATGACACATTCCAATACTTGCTGCACACAAATTGGCATACGATTGAAACAGAATGTCCCCTGTTGCAAGGGCAACAAGTCACTTTAACGAGAGAGTTAACAATTTTTGTCTTCCAGGGGACGCTACGGGACTTGTCAAATCCCAACATTGCTGTTGGTAACTTGTGGGGTCTTTTCAACATTTGAATATCAATACACTTAATACTAATGGACCACAGTAGAATGTCCCAGGACTGGGACACAAATGTAGAGCTGTCTCCCCTGGGCCATATTAGTACTGGCCAGGAACACAAACAGAGTTGTCTCCCCTGGGCCATATTAGTACTGGCCAGGAACAAACAGAGTTGTCTCCCCTGGGCCATACTAGTACTGGCCAGGAATATATTACCTCGCTCTATGATATATAATCAACTACCCAAAAGTACTATAAACATTTATGATGTCTCCATGGAATTACAATATGGTCTGCCTAATGCATTGATCTGGATGAACCCAATGATGCTGCAGGACATAAAGGGTGGGATAGTAGAACGTCAATCAAAAACAAAGTGGGTCAACATGTAAGGTTGTATGTTAGTATGTACCACAGTAATTACTGATGTAAAGTAGGTCACCATCTGGCGCCTACTTTGTACTCACTCTCAGGGGAAACAACACAAATAGCTGAGTAGGCACGATGTTTGTAGTCGCCAGTTAAATATGACCTATGGTGTTTGGGATGAAAATGTAATTACAAGGAAAGTTGACCTATAGTTTCCACAGTATCTCTAGTACAAGATGATGTTGTTTGAGAGGTAGCTATAAGAAGACAAGCTTTCATAGGTTCAGCAGTTGTCTTGAATAAAAGACAACCTCTCTTTGGACTTAGCTGTAGTGATGTATATGACATCCCATGGGTTCCGCAGTAGTTATAGTAGTAAAAGACAACCTCTCTTTGGACTTAGCTGTAGTGATGTATATGACATCCCATGGGTTCCGCAGTAGTTATAGTTAAAAGCCGACCACTGCTTTTATTGGTACAAGTTGTGTTGTGTACAGTTACAGTAAAATTTGGTGATCAGCGATGATGGCCAAACTCACTCAATCTGAACAATTTTCACTAAAAAGTATTTAATGATGGAATAACGGGTGGCAGATGTACTCGTGATGTGTTACCATCGTAGTCAACTTTGACGAAAAAAAATCATACTAAATGCCTTATATTAACGTTGATTCAATTTCTTTCCTTGTTAACATAACATATACGCACCAGCTAAACGACTTTTAAGCTGATGAAAATGTCTGTTCAACAACATAACTGCCTATTTCCCAAACACTGTGGCACAACACCAGGTCTCAGGGACTGGTTATATAAACACTATACAATGCCTACATAAAGGCCACTAGGTTATTACCTATGTATGATAAGCTGACATTTTATCCTACACATATACACATCAACATATGAGAACTAGATCAATGGCCCACACTTGCAATTCAGAAAAGTATGACGGAACAAAAGTTGAAAATTGACAAGGTCATTTTTATAACTTTAAGACAAATATTTGATGGGGATATGTACCAGGATTTGTTAATTTAGATTCGTCGCTGGACCCTCCCTTGTTCCAATGGGCTTCAGACTCTACTAAGTTGTACTGTCTCTAGAACTCTTTAGACTGTACTAAACTCAGGACTATCACCCTGAAACTAAAACACTCTCAGAAATCTCACATGCTGTACAGGACATTGCACTCACATACCAAAACAAAATCTGATTTGAAAATGAACTCTTCGTACAGGTTCCTGGAGCTATGATAATGATACAACAGTTTTTGGATCAAATGCACTCAACTGCATGTCCATCAGAAGTCTGGACGTAACCAACCTACCTTCTTAAAGAAAGGTTTCTTCTTTTCCTTCGAGGGAGGTGTGACGCTACTCTTGCCCATCTTGGAGTTGCCGACGCTGTCGCTGTCTTCCCCCATCGTACTCTCAATGCCATTTTCCACATCTACAGCAAACAAGTGAACACAGTGAGAGGTAATCCATAGCAACAAACACCAATATCAACTGATGAAAATAGCAGCTTGGAGACACAGACTCAACACCCGTAACAGAAAATGATATATTTCATTTTGCTAAAAGACCTACGTGAAGGAATTTTAGATAATTCGTATGCATAACAAATTACAGGACATTCAAAGGAAATCAGAAATTAACCTTTTAAGATTTTCTAAGCAATGTTTTAATTGGATTAAGTATTAAGTTTTAACTTTGATAAATCCATTGTCAGACAGACGTACACGTGATATCAAAAACATCAGTTCATTTTCATTCTGGATGGATTGTCCAAACAAACCTGAATACCTTATAGTTAATACAAATTCATAATTGAAAGTATTTTCAAAAATATTTCAAATATCATTTCTTTTTTTCTTTCTTTCTTGGTCCGTAATTCTTTTTCGTGGATTTGCTGAAATGGTAGATTTCACAGGAACAATTTTCCATTGATTTCAGATCTAGTGGCCATACCACAATGAGCAATGTAAAGAATGGTTAGAGCTCAACGAAAAACACTTCTTAAAGTACTGCATTTTGTAACTATCTTCAATTAAATATACATAGAATCGAAAGACCATCAGATGATACATGTAATAGGAACATTTTTTTTTTTTTTGTCTCAAATATGGAATTTTTCAAAATCGGCTACAGACTCATTCAGGTTTGAACAGGACTCCAATCTCATTATGTATCGTGACCTTGACTGTGACCTTACCTGGCGTGGGCGGGGTGGAGCCACGGGAATTAGACGAGGGGTTTGTACCGGTCCCACCTGTTCCCAACAGACTCTCTATATTGGAAGATGAGGGTGTTTTACTGAAAAAGAAGAAATTTGTTTAAGTACAAAATTCGCACAATAAACACACGACTAACATCGCAGCAATAAGTAAGGATACTCTCATCTCAATTCAATTTAATATTGTTTAAAAAAAAGAGATAAATTCAGACAAAACACCAGATTGGAAATTCATTTCATTTTGAAAGAACCATTTCTTTGTGTCTAACTTTTCCAGTTTAGAGTAATGCATATCATTCAAACCGACTCTGTGTCCATTTTGAAATACAGTGTGACCTTGATTGTAATGCCCCTCATACCATTTCCACTTTGTTGACTGCTAACATATTTATGGTCAAAAAGGTTATATTTCTGAATTTATTGCCAATCCCCTTTATAATGCCAACATTTGTCTGATAAATGGTGGCAGTATAAGGAGTATAGAACACATTACTGGCAATGTAAAGTAAGTGTGACATTCTATAACAAACAGAATGACACCATGCAGGAAATAAATCAATATCTATGGCATGGTCAACATTCAGACATCATCAAACTAGTTCTTCTCTTGGTTCTTCTTTCTTATTCATCGATAGAATTGGGAACGACATGACAACCATGTGAAACTTTGTAAAAACTCTTGTACTAAAAAGCAAAATTTTGGAAAACAAAACATTGTCATGGCACTATTGAAGTGAAAAATGGCAAAATTCCAACACATCTCTGAAGCTTGGTGAGATTGTTGGAAGAATTCCAGATCATAGAATTGTAGCATAACATTACCTCACAAAATTCACACCCAACACACATCATTTTCACTGGGCACAGCTTATATATATCTTTGAACAATAATTGCATAAAATTGATTCCTTGGAGACTGAAGCCATGATAAAGCCTTATAAGGCATGAAGCAAGACATAGGTTAGATACCCTAGTAACAAAGAGACCAACAGTGATCCCTAACCCCACAGTAGAGACTAAGTGTGATCCCTAACCCCACAGTAGAGACTAAGTGGGATCCCTAACCCTACAGTAGAGAGACTAAGTGTGATACATAACATCACAGTAGAGAGAAAAAGAGTAATCCCTAACCTAACAGTAGAGACTAAGTGTGATCCCTAACCTCGCAGTAGAGAGATAAAGAGTAATCCCTACCCCCACAGTAGAGACTAAGTGTGTTCCCTAACCTCACAGTAGAAACTACGTGTGATCCCTAACCCCACAGCAGAGAGACTAAGTGTGATCCCTATCCCCACAGTAGAGAGACTAAGTGAGATCCCTAACCTCACAGTAGAGAGACTAAGAGTGATCCCTAACCCCACAGTAGAGAGACTAAGTGTGATCCCTAACCTCACAGTAGAAACTAAGTGTGATTCCTAACCCCACAGTAGAGAGACTAAGTGTGATCCCTAACATCACAGTAGAAACTAAGTGTGATCCCTAACATCACAGTAGAAACTAAGTGTGATCCCTAACCCTACAGTAGAGACTAAGTGTGATCCCTAACCCCACAGTAGAGAGACTAAGTGTGGGGTTAGGGATTACTCTTTATCTCTCTACTGTGAGGTTAGGGATCACACTTAATCTCTCTACTGTGAGGTTCGGGATCACACTTAGTCTCTACTGTGGGGCTAGGGATTACTCTTTATCTCTCTACTGTGATGTTAGGGATCACTCTTTTTCTCTCTACTGTGAGGTTAGGGATCACTCTTAGTTTCTACTGTAGAAACTAAGTGTGATTCCTAACCCCACAGTAGAGAGACTAAGTGAGATCCCTAACCTCACAGAAGAGAGATAAAGAGTGATCCCTAACATCACAGTAGAGACTAAGTGTGATCCATAACATCACAGTAGAGAGATAAAGAGTAATCCCTAACCCCACAGTAGAGACTAAGTGTGATCCCTAACCTCACAGTAGAGAGATTAAGTGTGATCCCTAACCTCACAGTAGAAACTAAGTGTGATCCCTAACCCCACAGTAGAGACTAAGTGTGATCCCGAACCTCACAGTAGAGAGATTAAGTGTTATCCCTAACCTCACAGTAGAGAGATAAAGAGGAATCCCTAACATCACAGTAGAGACTAAGTGTGATCCCGAACCTCACAGTAGAGAGATAAAGAGTGATCCCTAACATCACAGTAGAGAGATAAAGAGTAATCCCCAACATCACAGTAGAGACTAAGTGCGATCCCTAACCTCACAGTAGAGAGACTAAGAGTGATCCCTAACCTCACAGTAAAGAGACTAAGAGTCATCCCTAACCTCACAGTGGAGAGATGAAGAGTTATCCCTAACCTCACAGTAGAGAGACCTATATTGATCCCTAACCTCACCACAGTAGAGACTAAGTGCGATCCCTAACTCACAGCAGAGATAAGAGTGATCCCTAACCTCAGAGTAGAGAGACTAAGAGTGATCTCTAACATCACAGTAGAGAATAAGAGTGATCCCTTATCTCACAGTAGAAACTAAGAGTGATCCCTAACCTCACAGTAGAGATAAGAGTGATCCCTTACCTCACAGCAGAGAGATAAAGAGTGATCCCTAACCTCACAGCAGAGATAAGAGTGATCCCTAACCTCAGAGTAGAGAGACTAAGAGTGATCTCTAACATCACAGTAGAGACTAAGAGTGATCCCTTATCTCACAGTAGAAACTAAGAGTGATCCCTAACCTCACAGTTGAGATAAGAGTGATCCCTTACCTCACAGCAGAGAGATAAAGAGTGATCCCTAACCTCACAGTAGAGAGACTAAGAGTGATCCCTAACATCACAGTAGAGATAAGAGTGATCTCTAACCTCACAGTAGAGAGACTAAGAGTGATCCCTTATCTCACAGTAGAGAGACTAAGAGTGATCCCTTAGCTCACAGTAGAAACTAAGAGTGATCCCTTAGCTCACAGTAGAGAGACTAAGAGTGATCCCTAACCTCACAGTAGAGAGACTAAGAGTGATCCCTTACCTCACAGCAGAGAGATAAAGAGTGATCCCTTACCTCACAGCAGAGAGACTAAGAGTGATCTCTAACCTCACAGTAGAGAGACTAAGAGTGATCCCTTATCTCACAGTAGAAACTAAGAGTGATCCCTTAGCTCACAGTAAAGAGATAAAGAGTGATTCCTAACCTCACAGTAGAGAGACCAAGAGTGATCCCTAACCTCACAGTATAGACTAAGAGTGATCCCTTATCTCACAGTAGAAACTAAGAGTGATCCCTTACCTCACAGTAGAGAGACTAAGAGTGATCCCTAACCTCACAGTATAGACTAAGAGTGATCCCTTATCTCACAGTAGAAACTAAGAGTGATCCCTTATCTCACAGTAGAGAGACTAAGAGTGATCCCTAACCTCACAGTATAGACTAAGAGTGATCCCTTATCTCACAGTAGAAACTAAGAGTGATCCCTTATCTCACAGTAGAGAGACTAAGAGTGATCCCTAACCTCACAGTAGAAAGACTAAGAGTGATCCCTAACCTCACAGTAGAGAGATAAAGAGTTATCCCTAACCTCACAGTATAGAGATAAAGAGTAATCCCTAACATCACAGTAGAGAGATAAAGAGTAATCCCTAACATCACAGTAGAGACTAAGTGTGATCCCTAACCTCACAGTAGAGACTAAGAGTGATCCCTAACCACACAGAAGAGACTAAGAGTGATCCCTAACCTCACAGTAGACACTAAGAGAGATCCCTAACTTCACAGCAAGGAGATAAAGACAGGTTGGTGGTCCCCAGTCAGACAGACTGAGAGATATTTAGCCCCCACAGTTGGCTCAGCACATTTTTAACAGTTTAAGCACACAGGAGATTACTGACACTTTCAGCAGGGAAGACTGTGACAGATCCATGTCCCTACAGCTCTGGGACTTTGAGAGAGGAATCTCAGAGCCCTGTGGCTGGGAGACAGGTTCAGCACATTATTATGTAATAGTGTAAGTACACAGGAGATTGCTGACTTTCAGCAGGGAAGACTGTGACAGATTCCAAGTCGCTACAGCTCTGGGACTTTGAGAGGAATCTTGAGCCCTGTGGCTCAAGGTTCAGCACGTTATTATGTAATAGTGTAAGTACACAGGAGATTGCTGACTTTCAGCAGGGAAGACTGTGACAGATTCCAAGTCCCTACAGCTCTGGGACTTTGAGAGGAATATTGAGCCCTGTGGCTCACTGGCTGGGAGACAAGTTCAGCACGTTATTATGTTATAGTGTAAGTACACAGGAGATTGCTGACTTTCAGCAGGGAAGACTGTGACAGATTCCAAGTCCCTACAGCTCTAGGACTTTGAGAGGAATATTGAGCCCTGTGGCTGGGAGACAGATTAGCACATTATTATGTAATAGTGTAAGTACACAAGAGATTACTGACTCCTACAGCCCCGAGGCTGGTAGTCAGGTCTCAACGTCCACCCTCATTGCTTGGCCTTTATTGGGCATGATATAGAAACTTAATTTCCTCTGTGTCCCCATCAACTGGCAGTGACGCAAACAGCAGAGTAATTGGCTACAAATAGCTTGTACCGACACCTCACCACATCACATTCTGCTGCTTGCCTATATAAGGTAGCAACTTATATCCACTTAACACTCGGCAGGCTAAATGCGTCCACTCTGACGATAAACCCTTACTATTTTGGATGTTTTAGTATCTGTGATCATCAATAATAAAGGTCTTATGCCAGCATATGATGCCTTAGGTTTCCATATTGTGAAATTTGCAGGTTAATTTGACAAAAACCTGGAACGTTTTATGACGACCTCTGACTGTTACGGAACTTGTACTTCCACATTTAGACAGGTTCCAATTTTACGATAGTGTATATCGGATACCCTGGAACACTGACACACTTCAGTGTATTGACAGAGATTGACAACGAGAGAAATATCAACTCCCTACTGTGTCATCTTGATACATTGAACTATTGATTAATATTCTTTAAATACATTCAAAACCATTTATGTAATGTAACAATATTGTATTTTCAAAATGACAAATGGTTTAATGCATAATTTAGGGATCTTATTTCTCCTGAATTATAAACACATTAGAGATCCTATTTCTCCTAAATTAGGCACACATTAGAGATCCTGTTTCTCCTAAATTAGGCACACATTAAATCCTATTTCTCCTAAATTAGGAACACATTAGAGATCCTGTTTCTCCTAAATTAGGCACACATTAAATCCTATTTCTCCTAAATTAGGAACACATTAGAGATCCTGTTTCTCCTAAATTAGGCACACATTAAATCCTATTTCTCCTAAATTAGGAACACATTAGAGATCCTGTTTCTCCTAAATTAGGCACACATTAAATCCTATTTCTCCTAAATTAGGAACACATTAGAGATCCTGTTTCTCCTAAATTAGGCACACATTAAATCCTATTTCTCCTAAATTAGGAACACATTAGAGATCCTGTTTCTCCTAAATTAGGCACACATTAAATCCTATTTCTCCTAAATTAGGAACACATTAGAGATCCTGTTTCTCCTAAATTAGGCACACATTAAATCCTATTTCTCCTAAATTAGGAACACATTAGAGATCCTATTTCTCCTAAATTAGGCACACATTAAATCCTATTTCTCCTAAATTAGGCACACATTAGAGATCCTGTTTCTCCTAAATTAGGCACACATTAAATCCTATTTCTCCTAAATTAGGAACACATTAGAGATCCTATTTCTCCTAAATTAGGCACACATTAGAGATCCTATTTCTCCTAAATTAGGCACACATTAGAGATCCTGTTTCTCCTAAATTAGGCACACATTAGATCTTATTTCTCCTAAATTAGGAACACATTAGAGATCCTATTTCTCCTGAATTAGGTACACATTAGAGATCCTATTTCTCCTAAATTAGGCACACATTAGAGATCCTGTTTCTCCTAAATTATGCACACATTAGAGATCCTATTTCTCCTAAATTAGGTACACATTAGAGATCCTATTTCTCCTAAATTAGGCACACATTAGAGATCCTATTTCTCCTAAATTAGGCACACATTAGAGATCCTATTTCTCCTAAATTAGGCACACATTAGAGATCCTATTTCTCCTAAATTAGGCACACATTAGAGATCCTATTTCTCCTAAATTAGGCACACATTAGAGATCCTGTTTCTCCTAAATTAGGCACACATTAGATCCTATTTCTCCTAAATTAGGCACACATTAGAGATCCTGTTTCTCCTAAATTAGGCACACATTAAATCCTTTTTCTCCTAAATTAGGAACACATTAGAGATCCTATTTTCCTAAATTAGGCACACGTTAGAGATCCTGTTTCTCCTAAATTAGGCACACATTAGAGATCCTATTTCTCCTAAATTAGGCACACATTAGAGATTCTATTTCTCCTGAATTAGGCACACATTATAGATCCTATTTCTCCTGAATTAGGCACACATTAGAGATCCTATTTCTCCTGAATTATGCATATATAAGAGATCCTATTTCTCCTCACAATGTACCAAAAACACTATATATGTATCGTTTGTTACATAATAAACATTCATTCCAAATACGCTATACATTTTAAAGCTGTCTAGCTTAACAGATTTATCTAGTTCAAAATTTGGGTAATTAAAACAACTGCAACCATAATATACCGTTACATTTAATTTTTTCCGAAAACCAAAACAATGTACTTACAGGCAAGGACAGTTATTTTGTCATAATAACGCCACTAATTTTTCCCACAAGTTTTATAATTTTAAGTGTCTGTTAATTCTTATTATAAAATACTATATGACCAGTCATTTCCAGGACTCTAATTTTACGCATTCATTAGACAAAATGAAGGGATTAAATATCCCTTCATTTTGAGCTGAAATATGGGAAATACCTGCGAAAATCAGTAACTGTCATATTTAGAAGATCGCAAAATTTTTGTCTGAGTTAATTTTTTGCGATCTTCTATATATGACAGTTACTAATTTTTGCAGGAAAATGTCTACGTTTATAGACAATTGAACTGTTCTGAGTGTTACTGATATCCTGTATCATTGATCCCCATCCGTAATCTGATCTCAGATTTAGTGTTTGGTACACTTGTATAACATACCTGTATAAAATACTCGTCATAAAACATAAAATATCTTTCAATCAATCACACTTGTCACTTAACCACATTGTTTGAGAAACCTTGTAATTTTTAATGATGATACTCGTGATAACATCCATCCCCTATGAATTAGCGAAAAATATCATACCCATGAAAACAAGAGGCCCAAGAGGGCCTGTATCGCTCACCGGAATATTTAAGCAGTCATAGCAAAATATGCTCATTAAATATTATATTGCACTAAAAATATTTCCCTCGCAAACTTTGTTGGCTCCATCTGTTAAAACTACTAGAAAAATATTATTATAAGATTCTATGCTTTTTTATTCTTCTTCAGAAGTTGCTTGACATATTTTCCCTGTGACCTTGTAAGTAGGTCAATGTCATTTTCCTTCTCAAATTGGTTAACTCTATTCCTTAAAGCTTCCAGTCAAATCTTATGAATCCATTCCTTTTAGTTCTTAAATACAAATCCTTTAAAATGTTGTTGACCTCTGTGACCTCTAAAGTAGGTTGAGGTCATTTTCATTCTCAAACTTTGGTGAGCTCTATCCCAGGAAGTCACCAGCCAAATATTATAATTTTATGCCTTATAATTCTTCAGAAGTAGTTTGCACTATTTGACATATTTGAACGCTGTGACCTTGAAAGTAAGTCGAGGTCATTTTCATTCGCAAACTTTGTTTGGCTCTTTCCCAGGAAGCCACCTGCCAAATATTAAGATTTTATACCTATCAGTTATTCAGAAGAAGTCGTTTAAAGTGTCTGATACATTTGACCCCAGTGCCCTTGAAAGAAGGTCAAGGTCATTTTCATCCTCAAACTTTGTCGGGCTCTGTCCCAGGAATCCATCAATGAAATATAAAGATTCTATACCTCTCAGTTCTTCAGGAGAAGTCATTTGAAGCTTTTGACATATATGACCTCTGTGACCTTGAAAGTAGGTCAAACTAATTTTCATTCTCAAACTTTGTTGGGCTCTATCCCAGGAAGTCACCAGCCAAATATAAAGATTCTATACCTTTCAGTTCTTCAGAAGAAGTCGTGTGAAGTGTTCGACTCATTTGACCCCTGTGACCTTCAAAGTAGGTCAAGGTTATTTTCATTCTCAAACTTTGTTGAGCTCCATCCCTGGAAGCCATCAGCCAAATATGAAGATTCTGTACCTTTTAGTTCTTCAGAAGAAGTTGTTTGAAGTTTTTGACATATTTGACCCCTGTAACCTTGAAAATGGGTCAAGGTTATTTTCGTTTTCAAACTTTGTAGGGCTCCTACCAACCGTTCTTCAGAAGAAGTTGTTTAAAGGAAAAGTTGACGGACGAGGACAGACGGACGGATGACGGACGCCGCACAATGACCTAAGGTCACTTGCCCTTCGGGCTGGTGAGCTAATAACCACCTATAGGGTAAATCAGTCTTTTTAGATTATATTCTTAACCTGATAAGAAATATTTAAAACCAAATAAAAGTATCACAAAATAAAAGTATCACAAAATGAAAACACCGAATTTCAGCATGGCAATGAAAATTCCTAACTTCAGGAATTATCAATAAAATTTCTCATTAAAGGTATCAAAGCCTTGCCAAGGAGCCCTTTCTAGAGCCACTGGAATCATATTGAACACATTTGGACAGAATGAACTCTTCTTGTACTCTTACAAATCTTTCTGTGCTAAAGTTAAAGCTAAAGTTCATCGAGAGGTCAGTAAGAAGTGCGTTAAATATAGTAAATAACAGACAGGGTCAGTATACAAAATGTGCATGGTCATAGAGAAAGATGAAATGAACTGAAGAGAAAGACAACCCGATCCAAGCTCACACCTTTGGCAGGCATCTATTCTTGGCTTTTTTGAAAACTGTATCTTAAAATTTCTTCATACTGCCAAATTTCCAAGTTGTTTGCTTAAAAAATTCACCCTTGAAAACTTTCAATTCACCAACCGAAAGTCATAGGATGATCTTTATATATAGGTCAATGTGGACTTGCTGTACAATACTCACTTGGCGTAGACCTTGGTGGGCCGGCCTCCACTACTGCTAGGCTGTACCTTCAGATTCTCCAGCTTGGCAGGGCTGGGTATGAAGCCCACATCACAGCCTTCCTTCACCAGCCTTCCTATCCACCATTCATTGTTGAATTTCTGTAACAAAAGAGAAACGGCCATGACATCTGGATAACCCAGAGTGAGAAACCTTGCAAACAGCTCAGGATCGAACAGACAGGATTCACCTCAATATTACTTACAATTCGAAAATTCCTTTATATTGAAAAGTAACTATATAAAAAAATTGCAAACTGAATAAATCAAAATAATACATTATGCGTATTGAGTGTAGGGAATCTTTGCCTTAGATTGTTTCCTTCAAAAGAATCACAAATCACTTAATATCCACTTACCTCCTTTATGTGGAGAAAATCTTTGACACCGAAAGACACTGAATGCCCATGGGCTGGGCATTCCATGTCCTGTGAACCCTCGTAAGCCACATTGGTACGAACTGCGAAGGCCACTGGTTTGGACTGTTGAATGTAAAGAGAATACTACAACACACTGGAACAGCATCTAACATATGTACTGATAATATTGGTGGAAACAAAAACAAAGTCAAAGACAGAGACTTGTAGAAACCAGAAAATGTCTGTAGGACATGAATGCTCCCTTGGCCCCGGAGGTTGATCTATAAAAATAGCAAGTGACCTTGGCATTGATCTTAGGACCCTGAAATACGAACTCATCAGAGATATTCTCTAACTTGACCTTTGTATAATTTTAAGAAAATCTGTTCAGAAATGAAGTTGGTAGAGTCATGATAACGAATCGGGGTTAGGATGGACCGAGTTTGGACATGACGTGATGGGACAGGATAGTATAGGATGGACAGAGTTTGGACGTGACGTGATGGGACAGGACAGTATAGGATGGGAAGAGATGGGACGTGACGTGATGGGACAGGACAGTATAAGATGGAAAGAGATGGGACGTGACAAGATGGGACAGGATAGTATAAGATGGAAAGAGATGGGACGTGACGTGATGGGACAGGACAGTATAAGATGGAAAGAGATGGGACGTGATGTGATGGGACAGCAGAGTATAAGATGGAAAGAGATGGGACGTGACGTGATGGGACAGGACAGTATAGCATGGAAAGAGATGGGACGTGATGGGACAAGGACAGTATAGGATGGAAAGAGATGGGACGTGACGTGATGGGACAGGACAGTATAGGATGGACAGAGATGGGACGTGAAGTGATGGGACAGGACAGTATAGCATGGAAAGAGATGGGACGTGATGTGATGGGACAAGAAAGTATAGGATGGCAAGAGATGGGACGTGACGTGATGGGGCAGGATAGTATAGGATGGACAGAGTTTGGACATGATGTGATGGGACAGGACAGTATATAGGATGGACAGAGTTTGGACGTGACGTGATTGGACAGGTTAATATAGATTGGACAGAGTTGGGATGTGACGTGATGGGACAGGACAGTATAGCATTGAAAGAGATGGGACGTGACGTGATGGGACAGAACAGTATAGCATGGAAAGAGATGGGACGTGACGTGATGGGACAGGATAGTATAGATTGGACAGAGTTGGGACGTGATGTGATGGGACAGGACAGTATAGCATGGAAAGAGATGGGACGTGATGTGATGGGACAGGACAGTATAGGATGGAAAGAGATGGGATGTGACGTGATGGGACAGGATAGTATAGATTGGACATAGTTTGGACGTGACGTGATAGGACAGGATAGTATAGGATGGTACGTGACGTGATGGGACAGGACAGTAAAGGATGGACAGAGTTTGGACGTGATGTGATGGGACAGGACAGTATAGGATGGGACGTGACGTGATGGGACAGGACAGTAAAGGATGGACAGATATGGGACGTGATGTGATGGGACAGGACAGTAAAGGATGGACAGAGTTTGGACGTGATGTGATGGGACAGGACAGTATAGGATGGGACGTGACGTGATGGGACAGGACAGTAAAGGATGGACAGAGATGGGACGTGATGTGATGGGACAGGACAGTATAGGATGGACAGAGATGAGACGTGACGTGATGGGACAGGATAGTATAGGATGGGACGTGACATGATGGGACAGGACAGTATAGGATGGACAGAGATGGGACGTGATGTGATAAGACAGGACAGTATAGGATGGAAAGAGATGGGACGTGACGTGATGGGACAGGACAGTATAGGATTGAAAGAGATGGGACGTGATGTGATAAGACAGGACAGTATAGGATGGAAAGAGATGGGACGTGACGTGATGGGACAGGATAATATAGATTGGACATAGTTGGGACGGGACGTGATGGGACAGGACAGTATAGGATGGACAGAGATGGGACGTGAAGTGATAGGACAGGATAGTATAGGATGGGATGTGATGTGATGGGACAGGACAGTATAGGATGGAAAGAGATGGGACGTGATGTGATGGGACAGGACAGGGCAAGATAGGATAGGATGGGACAAACTTGCACCTGTTACATAGCGAATATTAGGATTGTATTGACATTTACAGAAGGGCAGATAGCAATATGACATTGCAGTGTGCACTGGAACTTGAGATAATTTTAACGCTTACTTGGCTCCTAAGGTTTTCCTACTAGGTAAACAATGAACTGGTAACAACTATTTGCATAAATATGTTACTGAGATATAGAGTCAATTACAATGAATAAGTGACCCAATAAAGAAATATATCAGGTTTGTAATGCTTTTTACAGATGGAGAGTACTACAGACCTCGAGGTAGCTGGTGCCCTGACACTGAATAGAACGTTACACGCCCAATACAGACTCATACAAGGCACCATGTGACATTGTTTCAAGCACTCGATATGCAGCATATTTTCTGTCAATGGGGTAAAAGGATATATGGGGTGGTCGTACAGGGATTATGTGGGGGGTTCAACATCGACCTCTGATGAGGGAACATGAACAGGGACTGTGTGGAGGTCTGAACAGTTCTGTACATCCTTCCCAACATATTTTCGGTTTTATTCCTAAAACGATCCAAAATATCTATACAGGTAATGTGACTCTCAACAGCATATGTATACCAGCTGCCAGACCTTCGCTGCCTCGCTGGTGAGAGATTGTGGGTATTGACGACTCGCCTCTCGTGACAGTAATTGTGTGTACATATCTTGAGTGCTGCAGAACTATTCTTATGCCAGAGTTGCTGTAACACGGGGGACCTGAAGCCCAACATGTCTGCCTCTCATGTTTTTGGCACCAGCCCAAACGGAAAAACTAACACAGATGTTAATCAAATATCATATATGCCAATGACTACCTGTAACCATGACAATGGAGTCTTGTGAATTTACATAAAATCAATGCTGTAAAAGCCGTGTAATGACTGCTAGCTGCTATATTGTCTGCTGAGGTTTGACCCAGGGGGTTTGTCTTGATATATTGTAGCTCACCCAACAACCCTGTCCCCTCTCTTATCCCAGTAAAACCTGTCCTAATGATCACCTGTCTACAACAACCATCTCAATTCCTAACCCAGTAAAGCCTGTCATAGTGACAACCTGTCTAACATGACTGTCCCAGGCCAGGTGAGCTAACGAGTAAAACCTGTCCTAGTGGCTACCTCTCTATAATGACTCTCCAATCCTACCCAACTAAAATCTGTCCTAGGCACTACCTGTCTACAATGACAGTCCTCAATCTTATCTCTGTAAAACCTGCCATAGAGACTGCCTGTCTATACTGACTGTCCCTACTCCTTACCCAGTAAAACCTGTCGTAGTGACTACCTGACCATTAGGACTGTTTCCACTCTTATCCCTGTAAAACCTGCTCTAGTGATTACCTAAATATACCGACCATCCCCATTTGTACCCCAGTAAAACCTGTCCTAATTACCACCTGTATATAATGACAATCTCTGCTCCTGCCTGAGTAAAACCTGTCCTAGTGACAACCTGTATTTAATGACAATCCCCACTTCTACCCTTAGACAATGCAGTAGAGGTTCAGTGTGAGCGTCTGTCAGGCTTACGACTGATGGGTGCTGTAATGGGTACAGTAGTAGAGGTGCAGTGTGAGCATCTGTCAGGCTTACGACTAATGGGTGCTGTAATGGGTACAGTAGTAGAGGTGCAGTGTGAGCATCTGTCAGGCTTACGACTAATGGGTGCTGTAATGGGTACAGTAGTAGACGTTCAGTGTGAGCATCTGTCAGGCTTACGTCTGATGGGTGCTGTAATGGGTACAGTAGTAGAGGTTCAGTGTGAGCCTCTGTCAGGCTTACGACTGATGGGTGCTGGAATTGGTACAGTAGTAGAGGTTCAGTGTGAGCATCTGTCAGGCTTACAACTTATGGGTACTGTAATGGGTACAGCAGTAGAGGTTCAGTGTGAGCATCTGTCAGGCTTACAAATGATGGGTGCCGTAATGGGTACAGCAGTAGAGGTTCAGTGTGAGCGTCTGTCAGGCTTACAAATGATGGGTGCCGTAATGGGTACAGCAGTAGAGGTTCAGTGTGAGCATCTGTCAGGCTTACAACTTATGGGTACTGTAATGGGTACAGCAGTAGAGGTTCAGTGTGAGCATCTCTCAAGCTTCTGACTGATGGGTGCCGTAATGGGTACAGCAGTAGAGGTTCAGTGTGAGCATCTGTCAGGCTTACAAATGATGGGTGGTGTAATGGGTACAGCAGTAGAGGTTCAGTGTGAGCATCTGTCAAGCTTCTGACTGATGGGTGCCGTAATGGGTACAGCAGTAGAGGTTCAGTGTGAGCGTCTGTCAGGCTAACCACTGATGGGTGCTGTAATGGGTACAGCAGTAGAGGTTAAGTGTGAGCGTCTGTCAGGCTTACAACTGATGGGTGCTGTAATGGGTACAGCAGTAGAGGTTCAGTGTGAGCATCTGTCAAGCTTACAAATGATGGCTGCTGTGATGGGTACAGCAGTACAGGTTCAGTGTGAGCGTCTGTCAGGCTTACAACTGATGGGTGCTGTAATGGGTACAGCAGTAGAGGTTAAGTGGGAGCGTCTGTCAGGCTTACGACTAATGGCTGCTGTAATGGGTACAGCAGTAGAGGGTCAGTGTGAGCATCTGTCAAGCTTACAACTGATGGGTGCTGTAATGGCTACAGTAGTAGAGGTTCAGTGTGAGCATCTGTCAGGTTTACGACTGATGGGTGCTGTAATGGGGACAGCAGTAGAGGTTCAGTGTGAGCGGCTGTCAGGCTTACAACTGATGGGGGCTGTAATGGGTACAGCAGTAGAGGGTCAGTGTGAGCGTCTGTCAGGCTAACCACTGATGGGTGCTGTAATGGGTACAGCAGTATAGGTTAAGTGTGAGCGTCTGTCAGGCTTCCAACTGATGGGTGCTGTAATGGGGACAGCAGTAGAGGTTCAGTGTGAGCGTCTGTCAGGCTTACGACTGATGGCTGCTGTAATGGGTACAGCAGTACAGGTTCAGTGTGAGCGTCTGTCAGGCTTACGACTGATGGGTGCTGTAATGGGTACAGCAGTAGAGGTTCAGTGTGAGCGTCTGTCAGGCTTACAACTGATGGCTGCTGTAATGGGTACAGCAGTAAAGGTTCAGTGTGAGCGTCTGTCAGGCTTACAACTGATGGGTGCTGTAATGGGTACAGCAGTAGAGGTTCAGTGTGAGCATCTGTCAGGCTTACGACTGATGGGTGCCGTAATGGGTACAGAGTTGTACATTGGTACAGTAGCCTACATATCAGCAGTACAGGCCATGACAAGAACAGACAACAGTTACTGAACGAGAGATACAGAAGGAATGAGCGCCATTAAGGGTTTTAATCTTTGTTTCTTTATTTGTATGAGGTTTAACAGGAGACAGGAGACAGGTGTATATAGGGAGACAGGTGTCTATAGGGAGACATCACTGAAAGGATAGAACAGGTTAGAGAGAAAACGAAAGACAGATCCAAGTGTTGCGATGGGGCAGCTAGCAGATCAGTTATGATCTCTTCAACGTCTTCTTAGTAGAAGACACAGAATAAAATGCCCGATTCTGTAGAGGGCCCCAAATCAGTCACCTCTTACAGCATGTAGTTGGGTACAGCAGGTCTACCCCAACCCCAGAACCTGTACAGGGAAGGGTGCCACTGATTTTCTTTTGAAGAGTAGAGGAGTATGAAGGATACAGATAAAGGAGTATAAGAAAATCTGAAGGACTTATCTGCATGAGCTACAACTAAATCTTTCCTGAAAGCTTCAAAGAGGTACTAAAGTTTACGGATGAGTATGACCCTGGTTGAATGACTTACCCGTGCCTTTTGCAGCTGATCCAATGCCTGCCGCACTGTCTCCCGCCGCAGGGCTTCTCGTTCCTCGTCTAGAGAAATGTCGGACGAAGGCTGACTTATATTGGAGTCTCCTGATCCCTGTAACAGAGAGGTCAAGGTCAGAACAAGTCATCACAATCATCAAGGTCACACAAAGGTCAAGGTCAGAACAGGTCATCACTATCATCAAGGTCACACAGAGGTCAGGGTCAGAACAAGTCATTGCAATCATCAAGGTCACACAAACAAATGTATGTGTATGACCTCTGGTGACAGATCTCTTCAAGTAGAATTCAATTTGTGTACTCTATGGTCTTATGAAAGGTGCATACAGGTCAGTAGAGATTGGTTATTATGCTACAATGTTTTTCTGTTGTACATATAAAGTTAATCATCACTCAATATCCAAAGGCTAATATCACAAGCTGGAACCTGAATTTTTAAGGCTATATGTTACTTCAAACATTATACCTGTGACTTGTGTAAGAGTTATCTCCCTTGGAAACAAAACTGATGAAGACCACAGGAATATTGGTACAGACTACAATACAGATCTCTTGGTGTAGAAATTGGTGAAATGTTATGCATAGTAAAGGTGTATCACCATTAATATTTTTATTTCAACAATCTAGAAAATCATTATTCTGGAATTTATTGTGGTTCCCCTACACAAGTATATCAAACGGGACGCATGGTCCCATTTCACCTGAACAAATCTCTAAGCTTTGTCGTACAAGAAATCGTAATGCATTTTGTTGTGAATGGTAAACTGTGTTGCATAATTAATTTGTTAACAGTTCAAATGTGCCTGTGTATTAGAAAGTGTTACAGAGTTTTAAGTGACGTGAGTGTTCCAACAGCATGTACAAAGTGTAGGGTGTATTAAAGGTCCCACTAAAAAATACTTATGCTGGAATGCATGCATTGAAGACTTTAAATTGTTTTCAATTTTCAACCTGATTAAAACGTAATGCATTGTGATTAAAATTGTTTTCTCCGCTGAATATATTGAAGAAATCGGCATGTAGGAGATAACCATAATTCATTAAGATGTCCCAAGTGTGGTTTGTAGATATAAAACCCACTGTAAACAAATGATCAGACAATCTGTATTCTGATCATGTGATGCAAGATTTGTGCTGATGTCAAAAGTGCCGTTAAAATGTGTAATACCTCACCACAGACCTACAGCATTTTACACAGACCTCTCTAAATTCTTTATATAATGGTGTCTTTCTTTTTCATTATTTTGGGAAATAAGGCAAAGTTTTAGAATTGGGAAAAATGCATTGTGTGCACTCCAAACAAGACTTTTTGCTTAACCTATCAAAAGAATATGTATCTGTCTAAATACCAATTAAAAGACAGGAAATCTGTTGCTTGCCGATTAATTTGCTTATTTGTAATTGAAAACATATATATGCACGAAGAACAAATTTGATTTGTTTTTATTTCAAAACTTTAGGGGAAAACTGAGAATGGCCTGAATGGAGAAACAGGTAAGATATTCAACTGAATTGTGTAGGTGTCAAAATTTAAAATATCAAAAAAATAATACATCATGTTCCTGCCCC